CTAAACTCAGTTGATATGGATTTTCTTTGGATTTGGGGGTGGGGGTCTCTTTTCTACTAGATAGGAAACCTGATTGATTTAACAGTAAGTTACTAAGAGGTTGAACATTCTGTGAAAACATGTCCATCCACCGGCCCTGAAATGTTCTGAAATACGTTTGGGAGCCAGATGCCTGTGACAATTTAGGAGTTTAAGAATTTTGCACGGGAACTGAAGCCATATCAAAACAAAGCTTTATTTTTGTTCCTATATGAGAATGTCACAGCTAACAGGTATGTGAGGCAACTTGGCTTCTAACGTTTAGGAAAAAGAATAAAAGAAGTAAATTGTCATCCTTGGCATTTTCCCAATGACATTTGCATTTTTATTTCTATTAGAAGTCCATTTTCGCAAAGAAATGTCGCCTTAGTCACTTGAAGCTGCTCTTCCCTAGAAAACAATTGTAAATGTAATAAGTAAAAAGAATAGAAAATGCCAACAGGAAAGAAGTGAGCCACCTGGGGTCAGGTTCATCATGTAGACTGATTTGGTTTCCTTCTGATATTCGTGTTCCGGAAGGAAAACTTGGAAAATTTCTAAATTTAGGGTATTTAAGAGTGGCAAGGAGTGAGGGGAGGGGGAGAAGGAATTAAATTGCAATCCCACTGGGTAGGCCTCAAGCTTGGATTTCCCCAACTCTAAAGAACCGTTTTACACGTTCCAGTCACCTCATAGTTACTGAGTCCCTCTTTTGCGTAGGGTATAAGGTTGTTGTGGAAAGATATAATAAGGTCATGATGGCTTTAAAATTATTCATAATAAAAGCGCATTTCGAGACTTGATTCTAAATGTTAAGCTTAAATTTGAGCAATTCAATTGCCCGTTGAATAGAAATGAAATCCCACCGGTCGGCAGTTATTTCTTCCAACCACTGTGTGTGAAATTGAAATCTGAAGATACCATTTCAAATATTCGCCTTCTCTAAGGAAGTTCTCCCCAAAGAGTTGTGAAAGATAAGAAACTGACCCAAAGTCACAGGCAGTAATCACTCTTTTCTTTACGCACTCGGGTCAAAACAGGAGCCGGTTATTCAAAGGAAACTTTATGCCCCAAAGTTGGTTGTTCAGAGGTTACCTCCTGGAACCCAAGGATTATATTTATTTTAACAACTAACTTGAGCCCCATGCAAAACAGTAGCAAGGAGGTCAGCAACTTATCAGATTTAATAAGAGCAAGCAGTTCCAAGAATATCACCTACTCACCAAAGTAGTGAACATTAAAATGGAAAATGCTTATGTTTTGTTGAGCAGCAATCAGAGGTGAGGTAAAGGGACCCTGCTCTGTTTGCTTTTTAAAAACAGAAAACTGTTTTTAATTTGGGTGGGAAATTCTTGTCTTCAAATTTAATTTCAAGCTTTATTTGTGTATTTATTTTTTGACATATAAATGACATACATCATATTAGTTTCAGGTGTACAACATGATGATTCAGTGTTTGTAGAAATGGTCACCACAATAAGTCTAGGTAACATGTCATTATACGTAGTTACAATTTTTTTTTTCTTATGATGAAGACTTTTAGGATCTACTTTCTTAGCAATGTTCAAACACACAGTATTAACTACAGTCACTATGCTGTACATTACATACCCAGGACTTACTTATTTTATAGCTGGAAGTTGGTGCCTTTTGACTCCTTTCGCCCAGGTCGCTCACACACACCAACACCACCCACTGGCGACCACAAGTCGGTTCTCTATATCTATGGGTTAGGTTTTTATTTTTTATTTTTAAGATTCCACATACTAGTATAAGTGAGATCATACAGTATTGGTCTTCCTCTGTCTGACTTATATCACTTAGCATAAAGCTCAAGTTCCATCCACGTTGTCACAAATGGCAGGATTTCCTGCTTTTTTTATGGCTAACTAATATACAACACTAGAGGCCCTGTGCATGAAATCTGTGCACTCGGGTGGGGGGGGAGGGAGGAAGGGAGGCCCCTCAGCCTGGATTGTGAGAGGGCTCAGGCCGGGATGCAGGAGGGTGGCCAGCTGGGGAGGGACCGTGGGAGGGTCCCCGGCCTGTCTCACTCAGTCCCGATCAACCAGACCCCAGCAGCAAGCTAACCTACTGGTCAGAGCGTCTGCCCCCTGGTGGTCACATCAGTGCATGTCATAGCAAGCAACTGAGTGGCTTTAGCATATCATTAGCATATTACACTTTGATTGGTTGAATGGCTGACTGGACAACTGGACACTTAGCATATTAGGCTTTTATTATATAGGATTTTCTTTATTCATTCACCTAATGATGAGCATTAGATTGTTTCCATATCTTGACTATTGTAAATAAGGCACCATGTTCATTGGGGTGCATATATCTTTTGGACTTGCTGTTTCTTTTATTTTTTATTTTTATTGATTTTTTACAGAGAGGAAGGGAGAGGGATAGAGAGTTAGAAACATTGATGAGAGAGAAGCATCGATCAGCTGCCTCCTGCACACCCCCTACTGGGGATGTGCCCGCAACCAAGGTACATGCCCTAGACCGGAATCGAACCTGGGACCCTTGAGTCCGCAGGCCGACGCTCTATCCAGTGAGCCAAACTGGCTAGGGCAGGACTTGCAGTTTCTGTTTTCTTCAGATAAATACCCAGAAGTGGAATTGCTGGATTCAAGCTCTTTTTAAATTCCCCCGAGGATGTCTTTGCTCTAACATAGCAGCTGCCAGTTATGAGCACTTAATATACGCCAAGTGCTTTCTATGCATTTAATCTCATGTTATTACCCCCACTCCACTACAAGTCTGTGTGCCACACTTTGCAGGCAGTCACTCATTTAGTCCTCACAACAACGGAAGCAGTAGGTCTGGCACCCCCATTGTATAGATGAGTTTCAATTCCTGCTGCGAGCCCAGGTTCACACAGGTGGGACACAGGCCGTCTGACTCTGGAGCCACGGCCCAATACTGGCTGCTCAGGCTACGGAACTTTCCTCGGCCACGCTGGCTGTTAAATAAGAGCCTACAACAAACCCAGGCAGTGCGGTTCCCAAGTCCGGGCATTTGACCACCACACTGACATGTAGGCTGTAAGGATGTAAACTGCCAATCACAACCTATATGTTCATTTTCATTTCTGATCGTAGAGCGGTAGTTTACATGTTTATCACAGAATTTAGGCTGGCCTAAGAAATTCTAGGGGTTTTCCTTTTTAATGAAAGACAAGGATCTAAAGAAAGATTGGGGGGGGGGGAGGAGAATGTCTTTTTACATACTAAGGCTTGACTTGGACCCAAAGCTGCTCTTAAGGCTTCCTTTCCACACTCACACACAGGGACGGATTTTAATTGTGCCCATTAGGGACCCCAGCTTTGGACATGCACACAATAGTGAATTCTGGTTTTACTTGTAAAAAGTCAGTGAGGGTTTGGCTCTGAACAGGGAAAAGGAAATGTCCAGGGATTCACTCCTGACTTTGGTCACAGCATTTCAAGGCGAACTCATCCAGGCCCTTCATTGCCATCTGTAAAATGGGAGTAAAGTGACTACCACTGTGACCCAGACTGTTCATTATAAAAACACCCTGCAGCGTCTGAAAGTACTTGGCAGTTTCCTCTTTACAAGACTGGTGACGGGCGCGTCATGCACAAATGGGCCTTTAATAATAATTTCTGAATGTGGTCCTTTTGAAGGAACTCTGACGTGGCCCAAGGGACCCAAAGTTTTTCTATACAGAAGGGCAGACGATTAGCTTCTTCTCCCCTTCTGTATCTCCCCCCTCTTCCCAGAATTTGCCCTTGAGGTTAGAGGGGAAAGCTGAACTCCAAAATCAAGTCTGGCTTTTTCCTCTTCCCCTGACCCAGGGCAAAATGGTCTCTTGATCATTCATTGCTCTCCATCAGCGGAAAGGCACTTTCTCTTGTGCAGGGAGTATGGCTGGCATTTTACGGGGGGGGGGGGGGGGGCGGGGGGAGGGCCGGCAGGTTAGCCGCAGGAGTCTGGTTTTTGAAAGATGCTGAGGGAGGGAATTCGGCCGCCAGCAGATGGAGAGGAGAGGAGACTAGACCAGCGTGGTCCCTCCCAACCACCCTCCCTCTGGGATTAGCAGCCCTGGCGGCGCTCAGGCAGACCCGGCCCGCGCAGTCCTCGCTTGCACAGCTCCAGTCGCCTGTCTGGAGAGCGGACACACGCCCGCGGCCCGCAGAGCCGCGCTGTCCCGGGCACCCGCGCAGCACAACCGCGGACCTGGGACCTGGGACCTCGAACCCCGGACGGGCGCGGAAGCCACTCGGGACGCTTGCCTTTCTGTATGTGCTTATTTCACATTCTTGCCTTTTCTTTCTTCCTGAGCAGCCCGCTGGTTACTTTTATAGCCTTCGTTAACCAAAAGGGAAGCGAAGAGGGGAAGCCCTGGGAATGATTAGAGGCAGCCCAGCCGCCTCTCCAAGGAGAGAGGTTCACTGAGCGACTCCCTGTCTCCACACGCTGGCCCCTCTTATAAAACCACAGCTGGCCTGAAGGGTGCTTGCCGCTGTTGCTGCGGTGTTGTATCTGCAAAATCCCCCGGGAGCCCATTTTCATGTTAGGGGGCGGAATTTTGGGGGGTGTGGGCCACCGGCGGCCCCTGTCCTTTTGAATCGCACTTCTCCTCAGTATGTACTCAAAAACCCAGACTGGAAAAGCAGGTATAGAACCCGAGAAGACAAGGGAGGTTTG